CGTTGCTAACTTGACCGCGGAGCCTTAAACATCTAAAAATGACGCTAAAGTGTCTTGACCAAGTGTCAATATGTGCCGAGTCGGGAGTGAGAACGTGTTGCAACCCCCAACATCATGTTCAGGGACACAGTTTAAAATGATATCTTGACTGTTTGTAGGGCAGCGGTCGCCTGCATCTTAGTTTGATGTCTTGTTGACTCGACCTCTGTCCCTTTGTGGACCTTTGTAGCTCTACAAGAACGTCACACTACTTCCTTCTTTGCTGATCAATCCTACGACCGGTCGAGGTCTTAACCGTGAACGGAAGTTTTTTTATTGGGTATTTGCTGAAACAACAACAAAGTCGTTTCTCTTGGAAAGACTCTCCGAACTGGGGAAAGCATTTCTTTATGGAGCTGGCTTTGTGCACGGGGGCAGAGTCATGTTGAAACAGGAAAGGGACAAACTCAAACTGTTGACAAAGCTGGAAGAACATGGTTGTCTTCATTGAAACTAAGGCTGAAACCAAACAAGGAAAATCAGATCAGGCGTGTAAAACTATCAGCCATATTTGTAATTGTTCTGTTTCTTCAAGTAATTTAGGGTAAAGTATGACGTCGGGGATGTAAAGATGACTGGTATCTGTTTCTGCACAAACAAAAAAAACCCAGCTGACTCACTGCAGAGCTCTGACTGGGTTCCATACCTGGGAAGTGAGCTAATATCAGAGTCTTCAGGGTCTAATTTTAGAGTTGTGTGTTTTATTGCAACACCAAGGGCACACAGTCTCACTCACACACACAGGCCAGATGTTTCCTCTTGAACAGGTCCAGGGAGACCGAAGCCGGGTCGCAGGCAGCCAGCTGGGCCGGAGACACCGAAAAACACACCAAGAAACCGTCAGGAAAACATGGATCAACCACAGCGCAGAGGATCCTCGGGCTGAAGAGTTCAACGCAAGATTTATGTTAAAGCTGCTTCACCAACCAGCTGCAAAAGAGGAGGGTGGGGAATTAGTTAAAGGAAGTGTGTGATGATTGTTTTGTTGTGTCTCCAGAGTCAGATGATTCAGATCGGTTTCACCTGTGTGTGTTTCCAGAACAAAGATAGGTGGGAAACTGCTAGTCTAGTTTCATCCAAGGAGAAGAACACGCCTTCCTCGTCCATTATTGTGCCCTGTGGATGTATCCCTCGTGTTTCGTTGGCGTGAAGGGACCTCACTGCTGTGAGTGTAAAAATAAGTCTGAGTAACCACAAAATCAAACATTTCTTTCTGTTGATTATATTCATCCAATTGTAGAAAAGCATTAAATTCATAACATCCTGTCACAAATCCCCGGCTGTGAACGTGTATGTGTGTGAGTGTCTTTATGTTTGGATTGCGTGCTGGGAGCTCGTGACTGCATTACGATGGGAGTTCAAACACCTCAGAGTTACCTCAGGGTAACAAACTCTGACCGCCTACGCTGGAGTTAACGGTACTACGACAGAGGAGAAGATGTTGGTGAGTTAACCCGATGTTAACTTAATTGGAGTTGGTGCGTCTTCGCATTTGTTTCGCAACGGCACATGCTCCGTATTTCTCCAGAGGAACGCACGTTGGCAGTGTCAGTTAACGGCAAATCTAATAATCGTGGCGGCCAACAAAGCCAAGGAGGCTTGTTGGAATCGCATGGAGTAAATTTGTAGCCTGATTATCTTCACAGGGTTCTTATTGTAGTTAAATCTCTATTCTTTATTTTACAGGCTCTTCTTTGATGTGTAATATGATTAAGATGTAAAAGTACAACTGCACATAAGGCCTACTGTAATAGAAAGAAAGGAGCCAGCGGAGAGGGGGAATAATCCGAGACAGAATTTAATTTCCAAGATTAATGACATTTATGAGAGAATCTTCACTTTGCAAGGCTGCATCATCACACAGTCTGCCGTGTATTATGCATGCACTGGAAAGTTATATTAAACTTTGCAATCGGATTCAGCAGTGAGGAAATAGTATAGTTTAGCCCACAATCACTATCATGCACCTCAGAGACTTTGCCTTGGATCGGGCGTGACATTAATTTCAGGGAATTTCCGATTTTTCTTCTTGTAAATTTCACACTTTAATCTAGGATTTATTTTTCTCGGTTTATTAACCCTCACCCTGGCTCCATATTTTTTGGACACGTAAAACAGTCAATCTAAATATGTGAAAACACTTAGGATAATTCAATTATAGACTGCAGATGGGCTGCATCTAAGAAACTGTCCCGTTAATTAAGATTTACTCTCTAAAATCCCAGCTCGGCTGCAGGGCTCGCTGTCTGAACGTGACGCTGTTGTGTTCAGAATAACTTCAGTGCATCCTCAGTGGAACAAATCAGGATGAAATCTAAACATATTTTATGAAGTGGTTTGGATTAATATCCAACGTCTCCTCAGTAACACTGAGTACAGGTGTGGTTTGTAGTCCACGTGCAGGGTAACCTCGAGTTAACCACGAACAAAACCTGCTCGGAGCAGTTTAGAGATGCAGAGTAAATTGCCATGGCAACAGACCTCGGGTAACACCTGTCCACCTGTCGCAGTGCGGGTTAACCGGGAACTTCCTCCTGAAGTTACCCCTGAAGTTCCCAACCTCCCTGCACTATTCTCTTTGTTAAATAAACTGTGAACTCTCTGCCGTGATCTGCGTTTGGCTGAAGGTGAAAAAATGCATAAATTACCATAAAACATTATTACAGCAGAAGGGATTTTTTTAGTTGGTTGGTCATGAACACAGATATATTCCATATATATAAAAAATATTCCCTTTCTATGATTAATTGCTACAGATCTTGCCCACAATTTCACTCGTCATGCTCAAAACTAGCTTGTACGATTCTTCTTGGAAATTGAAAGTTCAGTTAAGCCGTGTCCTGTGGCCTCAGCAGTGACAAAACAGCCAAGACCCTGAGGTGTGTTTCATTCGCTGACCTTCCCTAATGTGGCAGCGGCTGCAGAACCAAGCTTGGAAAGCTGAACACTGACTGACAGTCGCTAAGGTGGTGTCACGGTTCAGGGGTGTTGGTGTTTTGTGTTGTGTCAGTATTTCTTGTTTTACGTTGTAGATATTGTGCCACTGCTGTCCTGGTCTTGTTTTACTTCCTGTCCTTTCTGGGTTGATTGTTTGCACCTGTGTTTCACATGTGTCTCGTTATCTCCATCCACTCAGGCATTTAAGTTTCAGTCTCACTAGTGTCTTGTTCTTGAACCTGTGTTCGGGCAGTTTTTCATCTCATGTCTCAGGATTATTCCTCTAGTTTCCCTCGTGTTGTCCGGGGTGGTGGTAATAACAACTGTTCTCCCTCCATCTAGCCTTGACTTTAAATATTCTGGCTGGGAGGAGTGGAGCAGAAATCCTGGGTGCATTCTCTAAATCCTTTCTGGTTAGAAGCTGCCCACAAACACGTCCTCATACCTAAACAACAAAATAGGTTGATTGCCAAGTGTCCCACAAGGACATGTAGAGCCGTTTGAAAGTACAAAGACATATAAACGTTTCCCAAAATGACATGAGTGTTGGCAACTAACAGTCCAGGGACAAAACCTGACCAAGTGGTTTTGTTGCTTAGACCTGTGTGGATGTTTTCCACATGTTAAACGCGATGTGACCTGCGTAATGTAGTGGCGGTCCGGTAGATCGTGGATTGGGTTAAAATAAGTCACATGACATAAGTCCTCTACAAAAAAGAAATTTACTTCCATCCCACCGCCTCCTTTTCTGAACTTGTCGCTCTTTTTACCACATCACCTGACTTCTTCTGTCACTAGAAGTTGTGTCCTAACAAATAAACTGAAAATGCGTCCTAAGAAGCTGCTGCACAGGTTTTCTGGCTGTGCAAGCGGACGTCAGTTTAAACCCAGATGTGGGTTCCCTAACTTTAAAAATCTTTGATCACAGAGTCAAATATTCAGTCTTTCAGCACTTACTAAAGTTTTATTTTATCAAAATATAAGAAAATAGACCTTTCAGTGACTCCACACACACATCCAAGCTGTCAGCTGAGTGTCGTCGACAGTTTAACGCAGCTGTGAGCCTCGGCCTACTTGTGATCTTGTCCCACGTCCAGCTCATTTTTAACCGCTTTGGAAGGGGATGTATGTCTGCCAGTTTGTTTATGAAACGTAGATGCATCATCTATATGTCAGACTTAATTTCATGACATGCTGTGAGGTTGTCTCCTCCTCCTGACAGCAGCTCACTTCATGTTTCTCCACGTGTTGCACATTTTTTCTGCATCCTGTTTATTTTCTGTGGTCTGTGAGGGGGATTTCAGCATAATCCAATAAGCCAGTTATAAATACCATGATCTGATTATCTGATCCAGTTACATTTCTACACTATACGTCTCCGACCAAAAATGCAGAATAGATTCCACAGACAAAAGTTGAGTTTATTTTTTACAGTCTGACTGTTATTAGCATTCGACCGCTGTGAGACATAATTAACCGTTATTATAAGCTGCTGTGGATAATGTTATACGTGTAATCTCACAGGCAGAAGGTCAGGCGTTGGCTGAGTATTCACTCCATTAGATCATGGAGTCCACAGCTGACCGCGAATGAACGACTGGTTAAAGGAGCAGTCTGATAATTTGTGAACTTGTCTTGTTAACCATCTTCCCCGTGTGACCAGAGAATGTGTTTAGCGTAGCTTAGCACAAAGACTGGAGGCAGAGGGAACTGTTAGCCTAGCTCCATCAAAAGAGAAATCAGAGTAATTTATAATTTAACTACTTTTTGATTACTTTTCTAAATTTCTACCGATTGCTTTTAACTGTCAAAAGACAGCTTGAGCAGCGCTGCAAAACTAAAACAGAAGGACCAATCAGAAGCCTTTGGACAGCATCGAATTACTAAACACCTGTGGCTGGAAACGACAAAGGAAGATTTTGTGCACATGAAAAACATGCAAAGAAACAAAATCAATATTATTCAACATATAACCGAGCTTTTAACAGAAAATATTCACATGTAAATCCCAACACAATAAGTAACCTGAATTTAATAACACCCATTTATTTTGTGATTAAATTACTGAACTAAATCACATCCGAACATGATCATGTGACCGGTTTATAACCTTGCTCTGAGGATAAAGCTGCTACTCAGTGTCTTGTTATAACAGATTCTCATTACATATTTTCATGTTTACACAAAATCTATATGTTGTTAAATCAAGAAACATTTCTCATTGTAAAATGATAAGTTGGTATGTATTTATAAGAAGAAGCTTCCATATGTGTGCATTGGATTCTAATACCAACATTATTTGTCTTGTTATAATCAATCAAAAGCCGTCTGATCAGAATCAATCAGAAACACATTTATTGCAAGTAGTTTTTACACTTGCAAGGAATTTGTTTTGGCGACAAGGTGCGTTACAACAGATAATACAACAATGGATATAAAGTTGTATAAAAGATTTAGAAATACTGAAATAAAAGATTGATGATTATGATTTATACACATGTTGTACTTTTGTTGTAGAAAGCAATGGCGTCACTTTGTGTTGAAAAGTGGTGGGACAAAATGTCTGAGGTCAGGAGTGTGAGGAAAGTCTTTGGTCACGAGAACAAGACAAGAAGATATTTTAACAGTATTTTGAAGTAATATTTGATGCCAAAATATGTGAGTTGGGGGTCTGGGTTTCTCCCCCAGAAGATTTTTAGCATTAAACTCTTAATTTACTGCATTGTCTTCACCAATTTATGAAGGAAGGAAAACACGAAATTCAGGTGGCAGGTGACAACTCAAAATATAAATAAAATATACTGGAATATAATGCAGTAATAAGTAGCTTTTTTTGTTGCTTAAATTACTTTCCTGGACAAAGCACATTTGTTTCCTCTAGATTTAAATTACATTACATGCTTTCTTATTGTGCAAATAAACCTTTCTCAATGCAATTTCATTTGTTATTTAACATTTCTTATTGCAAGCTGTTTGTCAGAAAGATTTTAACAAATGCTTTCAAAAATTAGTAAGTTATGGGGACAAAATCAGCCATTTCAAAAAGTGGTGGGGACGTGTCCCCAGCGTCCCCAGCGTCCCCAGCGTCCCCAGCGTCCCCAGCGTCCCCAGCGTCCCCAGCGTCCCCAGCGTCCCCGCTGTAAATGACACCTATGGCAGAAAGGAAGCATCAAAGTTTCTGATGGAGAACTCTGTGAAAGCTGATCGCTGCTGCCATCTGCTGGTCCAAACACAGAATGATACGCTAAACTTCATTTACTCTTCATTTATTATTTCTCTCACAGTTTGTAAGAGGAGTTTGAGTCACACATTTATAAACAAACCTAACTGTTTCTGAACCAATCAGAACTCAAAATACAGTACACTACATCCATCCATCCATCGCCAACCGCTTATCCTGCGTACAGGAGTCCACTATATATGTGTATTAATTATATATTACTATATGGACAAAACTACTGGGACACATACACATTACTTTTATGACATCTCATTCTGAATCCACAGGCATTAATACGGAGTGGGTTCCCCTTTGCAGCTCTAACAGCTTCCACTCTTCTGGAAAGTTTGCTTACAAGATGTTGGAGGTCTCCGTTCTAGTTCATCCCAAAGGCGTTGGATAGGGTTAAGGTCAGGGCTCTGAGTGGGCCAAACTGGGAAAACCATTTCTTTATGGAGCTGGCTTTGTGCACGTTGTCATATAGAAACAGGAAAACTGCTGTAGCGTTAAGATTTCCCTTAACGAAGACTACACCACAAAACAGCCCCCACCAAAAGTAGTAGGACATGGATGTCCCATTACTTTTGTTCATATGTTGAGTTTTTTAAAGATTAACGTTACATACGAGCCTGATGTCATGTAACATACTTATTTGAACCGCGTCTTCAAAGGGCGTTTCAGACGGACGCTGAACGGTGACGCTTGTATCTGACGCCCTGGGATGAGCTGATTAGCCACCGTATTAGCAGACCTGTCAACCAATCAGTGGAGTTTTCTCCCAGAGGCCAAGGGAAGCCAGGCTTCCTCTGCGTTTATCATTTTAATAAAAACCCAATGTTTATAGTTTTGATAAATCTTACGTGCTGTTGTGGTCATCTCTTCCCCATTTCTTAATATCTTACAGTAAGTGAAACAGCGCCCCTCTGAATGCAGCGCGTTGGATGTGTGTGAAGCAAATCACAGCACGCGTCATTCGGACGAAATAACGGGAGCTGTTAGCAGCTGGTGCAGTTATGGAGGGTGGAGATTTGGAGTTCATAGTTTAACTAAACTACCACTACAGCAGCAATTTAAGATCAAATCTGGTGGAAGACCAACGCCAAAACTGGAGCTGTGTGTGGAGAGGAAAAAGGGGGTTCGGACATTCAACGAGGAAAACTAGATCCGTACTGAGAGGCTAGCTGGTAGCACAAACTTCGACTGACTCTGTTGTTGCGGAGGAACTAAAAGCCAGTAGGACTTTCTATAACTTGGTTATTGACCACTTCCTTTTCAGAGAGGGGGAGTGAAATGTCTCCTCCTCCTCTCTCTGAACTTAACTGTGTGCGATTTCTGATGTGGTTATATTGTTTGTTTTGCTTGCCTGGATGTAACTGTGAATGAACAGTCCGCTGCAGTAACCTGATTGTTTTTAGTGCGGTTGAGTACACATAGATAACGAGCACCACAGACAGCACCTGCCTCGGGGCCCTGGGCCAGACCACCTGAATAATACTCTGGTCTGGCACTCGTTATTTGGCCGAGCATTAAATAAGAAGCATGTAGGCCTACACTGCAAAAAGTGAGCTCTCAAAAACAAGCGAAAAAACATTAAAATGTGGGAAATATTACTTAAAATAAGCAAAATTATCTGCCAACAGAACAAGAATATTTCACTTGCTACTTAAAGCCAAAAAAACTTAAACCAAGTGAAATTCTCCAACATAAAAGCCGCCTGGTAAGAAGAAATATCTTGTCAGACAAAAAACAAGTATGTTTTGCCTTCAATTAAGATAATTAATCTTATTTAGATTTTAGTTTTTGCAGTGTGTGATACATGCACCACTGCTACTATGCAAATGTCTTCAGTCGTCTTCTGGTCGAGTTTGTGAATGATTCTTTTATTCTTAACTGTAGCCTATTGGTACTGTGCACTATAAGCAGTTATTACTGTATCATTCTCAGAAACGAACACCAAAACAATCAGACTGAAAAGAAGGATGATGCAGTTACATAATGAATAAACAGTGAATTTGTCCTCCTTTGGAGCTGTTGAAAGGTGTGTTTGTAGTTTCTCTGCTTCCGGTCTTTGTTTATTGAGGTGATCTTTGGCATGAATGTGTGTGAATCCCTGCTTTACAAACAGCATCTCTGTGTCTAGAAAGCATCCTCCGGCTGCACAGAAGTTGTAGGTTGCATCATTTCCTCCGCAGCCTGTTCCTCTGCCTCGCCGACTGACTGGTTTCTGCAGCAGGGGAACATCCTGCAGATCGTCTGTCTGAACGGCGCGTAGAGGTAGAAGAAGAGCAGGGGGTCGAAGCAGAGGTGCAGCACGCTCAGCAGCAGCGTCCACTCCTTCCCCAGAAACAGCTGCCTCCTGGTCTGGCAGTCTGTGATGACTTTGGTCTGGGCCAACGTGTACGGCGTCCGGACGACGTGGTAGGGCACGAAGCTGACAATGTAGGCCAACGCCACGGCCGTCACATTCCCCGCTGCCTGCCTGGCGTCGACCCAGAGTTTGGGATCCTTGCGACTGCCCAGGAGTCTTTTGAGAGCCAGACCGCAGGAGACGAGCACGGCGATGGAGGCGTTGAGGAACAGAGCCGTGCAGAGGAAGATGGTCAGGGCGTGCCAGTGGAGGCCGATGTCCGTCTTCAGAGATGAACAGCTGAGGTACCGCTGCTCCTGCAGAGGCGAACAAACAAACTTTTAATCTCGGTCACTTCATTACAAACATCAGCTGAGACAAACGGACGCCATGATGAGGAGCAGTCGAAGCTGTTCCAAGTTTCAAGTTGAAGCAGTTGTAGAAGAATTAGAAGTAACTGTTGTTGCAGGAGCAGCAGCGGTCTAGAGAGGACCCCCCCCCCCAGGTTTTATACATATTGATAGACAGACCTAAACCTGCAGCAATGCAACAGGACCCTACCAGACCTGATGAGACTGGATATGATTTGGACCTGACCTGCCTCTTGTTCTAGGTCAGGTCTTGAGTCAAGAAGCAGTAGCAGCCTTAGTAATAGCAGCAGATGTATTACAGTACCTTTACTTCCTGAGTGGGCAGAACCATGTTGGGCACCATGATGAGCAGCAGCAGCAGCCAGACGACCAGCGTCAGCAGCCGGGAGAAGCCGACCTCCTGCAGCCGCAGAGAGCGCAGAGAGTGGCAGTCCTGCAGCAGAAGAGACAAATCGACACTGACTCACATCGTGGGTTAAAGTTCATACCTCCGCGGTGAAGCTGTGTTCCTGCGTAGCCTTACCTGCATGTAGCGGTCAATTATGATGAAGGCGAGGAAGGCGATGGATGCGTAGAGGCTGATGTAGATGGTGACGGCGCTGGCCTGGCAGTGGAACACCATAAGGCTCCACGACGCCGACCCGAGGTCATAAAGGATCTTAAAGGGCAGCGCGAGCAGCAGCAGCAGGTCGGCCACCAGCAGGTTGACCAGGTAGACGCTGGCGTTCTGCTGCTGCAGAACCACAAACGGACACACCTTTAAAAACCGCAACTAACATCCCGCTTACACCTCACTTCACCTTCTCTCATCTCACTTTAGGTCAGGCTGTCTCATCTGAATTTATCCGAACATCCAGTCCCAGTCCTACCGTGGCTCGGGGGCTGCGGATGAAGGCCCACACGGACAGCAGGTTTCCAGGCAGACTGATGACGAAGATGAGGATGTAGAGGACAACGAAAGGTCCCATCTGGTCGTTGACGATGCACTGCTTCTCCTCACCAGATCCTCCACCGCTGAAGTTGGAGGAAGGAGGCATCATCGAGAGCTTCGGTGCTCACCTGGAGCTGACACACAAGAAAGGAAAAATCCTCGACGCTGCGCTTAAAGAAAAGCAAACACAGGGAGCTGCAGGTGCGATGTTGTGCTTACTGTGGAGCGACTGGAGGATGTCTGAATCTTCAGCAGCTGCTCAGATTGTGGTTCAGATGTCACAGTCTGGTTCAGAGCAGAGGCCTGTGGGAAGGAAACCCACACTGAAAATCTAATTCGGCCTCGGGTTCCTAGAAGAACACAAAATGTTTCCTGTTAGTCAATAAAACACTTTTGGTCAGTTCACCTGAGATATTTATTTCTGCATTCATATTTTTGTCTGAGCTCTTCTCGCTGGTGTTAAGTGGTCAGGCGTGCACCAACCAGTGACGGATGTTTGCAGATCTTTCAGATCTGTCGATCACACCGCAGTCTGCTGCTGAGCTCGCTGGGAAACTCTTAATCACTAATGTCTAATGATGGTTTTTAATAACATTCAGTGTTATAGAGAAATACTCGATGGATTTGAAACCACATTTAAGATCAAGGAACGTCTGGGAAACAGTAACACTGTCGGAGTGACCGCTTTTCCGGACGGAGCTTCTTAATTTAATATATTGACATTTACTGCAAATACTTTAACAGACTCAACAAACTGATCCAAGACCAGTGAGGTTGTGGGGGCGGAGCTGGACTCTCTGTCGGTGGTGTCAGAGAGGAGGATGCTGTCCAAACTACATGTCATCATGGACAGTGTCTCCCACCCGCTCCATGACGTGCTAATCAAACACAGGAGCACTTTCAGTGCAAGACCCATTCCCCCAAAATGCACCACAGAGCGCAGGAAGTCCTTCCCGCCTGTGGCCATCAAGCTTTATAACTCCTCCCTCTAAGTGTCTGACACACGGACACATATTATCTATTTTCGTGTTCTCTGCTGATGTTCATCCATTGGTCCTTTTTGGTTCACCATAATAATTCTTAATAATGTAAATATTGTACATACCCACACTCCTTTATATTTATACTGATATTTATATTCTCTTTATCTATCGACCTTTTATTGCTATTTCTATTGCTTATGCCTTGACAAATGTGAAAAAGAATTTCCCCTCGGGGATCAATAAAGTATTTCTTATTCTGATTGTGATATCCTGATTCCTGTTCCTTTTTAGACCGGTTCCTTCCACCAGCCTCTGTTTTCAGTTCATTTTATGCAAATCAACTTGCAGAAATTTAATTCCTGCTGCAGACAGATGATTGTCAGTTCCACTATCTTCATCAGAGCATGGGCTGTTTGAAAACTCTCATTGTTGTTGTCCAGTTGTAACCTAGAAGTTCATCGTTCATGAAGAGACATACTCATACTTAAGTACTTAAGGAACCATGTTTGACTGATAAAAACAAAGTCAATAGCTACTGAAAGTCTTTTAACATTTTCTTTTATCTGCTTGTTTTATGGATCGTCTGTGCAGGAAAGGAACAGCAGCATTGTTAAAATCTGCTCCGGGATCACTGGAGTCCAGCTGACAGACCCGAGCCAGCAGGTGGTCCAGAAATGAGAATTTGATTTATTAAAATCAAAAACTTACATATAGTCACTTTAACAAGTACATTCATTTTGAAAGTCTAACCAGACGTTACATATTTATTATTGCTAACTTGACCGCGAAACCCTAAACGTCACAAAATGACACTAAAGGGTACCCAGGGCGCTAACAAGTGATGCCAAGCCACTATAACCATGAGTCTATATGTGACCAGTTGGGAGTGAGAATGTGATAAAAACAACAGTGAGCAGCTGTGAACAGGAACTGAGCACTTTTTATTAAATGTAGAGGTGTTTTTAAAGATTTACACCTTTAGGAGGAACTAACGTGCTTAGATCTGAGAACCACAGACAGGAAGTCAGACAGACCTGAGAGACTGGCTGACATGTGGGTTCTGCTGTGCACATGAGATATGATTGCATAAAGAAACCTTATAGTTTAACAAAGTGAAACAGGGATCACTTTTAAAAAATAATAAAACAGTGCTGGTGGACTTCTCGCTTCTTGCTAATCTAAAAAGTAACTGGTAACCACAGCTGTCAGATTCTCGTAGTGGAGCAGGAAGCACAATATTTCCCTCAGAAACGCAGTGTAAAAGTGGCATTTACGTTACTACTAGTATCTCAGAATTGTACTTAAAGCTGCGACAGGCAGCACTGGAGAAACCAACAACACACAGCTAGATTCTCCCTTCAGGCCTCCTCCAAAGCTACTTCCCCAAAACACATGTTCATGAGCAGTGAGTGCAGGCAGGTAGAAAGGTAGGTCAGCAGGCAGGCAACAAGAAATGCTTCTGAAATACATCACCTGATCCAGCTTTAACGTCCTGCACTTGAGTCAGGGGCGAAGGTACAGACAGTGCAGCTGCACTGGGGCCCGTGACGGCTGCGGCCCCGCCAAGTTTCGGGTTGGTTTTTGTCAGTTACATGGTAAAAACGCACAGCCCCCTCAGTCAGCTGTACACTCCCAATTCACAACTGTTTTTCTCTTCAAACTATGTAGACGCCGGCGATCAAGAGCTATATATACACTCTTATGTGCATTTCCCTCTTTGCCGTGGTGTCTGACACCAAAGTCTTCTGTGGGTAAAACTACTGACTGCAGTAAAGTAAACAGTGAAATGTCACAAAATTGTTTCCACAGATTCAACAGAATGAATATTTTCTTATTTTCTTTGCTATTCGTGTCATATAGCCCACATGTGCAGTGATGATTGCTGGGTAATATGTAAATGAATGCCCATTCTTAAGTTTCTATTTGATCGTGTGACAAGAAGACAAGACTACAGAAACCAGGTGAAATGCAAAATCTGACAAGTGGACTAGCAGAGCACACGTGCAAGCTAGAAGTCCTGCCATTCAAACATTGTTTCAAGAAGAGACCGGAGAGGAATGAACAGGAGCAGAGGGTCGCACAGCTCCCAGATAAGATTGTTTTGGATTACTGAGGACAGGCCTACCTGTTTAATTGTGTGGATGTGCTTGTGGGTATTAAACTGTGTGCGACGCTTACTGTTACTGTTACGACCTCTGACACATATAGCAACTGTAAGTCGCTTTGGGTAAAAGTGTCAGCTAAATGTTAGAAAGAAATCAATTTAAGGAGCTTTAAATTAAATATTTACTGCATGTTAAACCGAGGCAAAACGAGTAAACGTGGTACATAAATTTGCCTATATAGGGTTCCCTTCTGGACACAAACGCAGTGTGTGCATGTGTGCCTCGTAACGGTGTAGCCCAAGGGCCCGTTGTTACTACCATACGTTATGTATGTATGTTTCACTGAACCACAGCAGATAAAACACGATTCAAACCATGTGGAATAAAAACGACAAACAACAAACAGAAAACACTGACCCACGCTGAGCTGAAGTGCGCTGGATTCGTCTTGTTGGATGTGCAGGAGCTCCTGCAACCTCATTGTTGAAAAGCAGGATGTGACAGACAGACGTAGGTGAGCTGAGCTACTGTGCAAACTCTGTGGTCAAAAGCAAACCTGCCTGCAGCAGGAAGTCGTGAATCAGGAAACTTTCACTCGTTGAACCCTGACACAAAGCAGTGACTTTCCTCAAACATCATTCACACACTTTCCACTCACGACGATATGCAAATGTTTAAACAGGTAAAATGATCCTCTGCTCTATCAGATCACCGACGCAAGAATCACGGTGATGCTGGAACTTGTGGCCTGTGTTTCAGGAGTAAACCTCAATCAAACATTTCTTGCCAGCTGGCAGATCGCCGCGGGTTAAAGGTGACAACTTGACAGACTGAGGGCCAGTTAAGCAGAAAGGTGTGTGAATGGACGGGAAGGGATGAACGGTGTAGGCAGGATTTAGACAACGTAAAGTGTAGACGTTCGAAGAGCGTGGGAGGATGTCATGGATCAGCAACATGCAGTCTCTCTCTCACTGTCTGACTTCCTGTCTATGGCTGTCAGACCTGAGCCCGTTAGTTCCTCCTGAAGATTTAAATCTTTAAAAGCACATCACAGATCATAGTTTCAATTGAGGAAAAAAATGGGGCTCAGTTCCTAAATCAGCTCCTCGCTGTGGTTTTTATCAAGCGAACAGGATCTGTTCAACACGCTTTCACACACAACACGTCACACATGGACGCTTGGTTAAGATAGTTGGGGGTTTTTTTCACGTGAAGGGCTCTGCGGTCGCATTTGCAAGAATAAATATTGTGACAGTTTGACTCTTAATTTATTTATGTCTGTGGTGCCAGTCTGATCCCCCTCCTGACATATAAGATACTCAGTTTTTTTGTTTATGCCACTCTCACCATCACTGTTTCCAGTTACTGCCATCAGCCAGACGATATAAAGTTCCACTGGTCCAGAAAAACATTTACAAGAAACAATATGCAACGTCTAGTTAGACTTAAACATCGCAATTTGGTTAGATTTAGGCAACAGAACTACTTGGTTAGGTTTAGGAAATGATCAGCCCGTCCATCCGTTGTCTTTACCCGCCTATCCATGCAGGGTTGCTGGAGCCAATCCCAGCTGACATCAGGCGAGAGGCGGGGTGCACCCTGGACAGGTCGGCGGTCCAACATAGGGCCCACAGAAAAGAACAACCACTCATACTCACGTTCACACCTAAGGGCAATTTACCATGAACCCATCTGCCTGCATGTCTTTGGATGGTGAGAGGAAGCCGGAGCACCTGGTTTGAACCCACACGGGGAGAACATGCAAACTCCCAGTTAATCTGATATGCTAGCCCTTTTATAAATTTAATTTAATTTTTATTTGTGCAGGTTGTGTCATATTTTAATGTTGTTGTTTTTAACTGCTATAATTTGAATGTTTTTTCTTTCTGTGAAAGCACTTTGTACTGTGTGCTAAACAAATAAAGTTTACGTTATATAATTACATATTTTATATCTGCTTTAATGTTAATGCACATTTAAAATGGTTTCCATATGTTTCCATAAGGTATTGGCTGTTATTATATTAATGTTATGTTTCATTTTATTTGTGGTTTTCGATGAAACGGTTTCAGCACATTTTACATTTATTCATTTATTCATCGCCTCTGGAGGAGTTAAGTGTCTTGCTCAGGGACACATTGATGTTTGGATTCGAACCCGGGTTTCTCACATCAAAGGTATGTGTCTTATCCACTGCACCATCACCCCCCCATATATAAGTATTTTTTACACTTGTTGTTGGATGTGTCACAGTGAGGAGTCAAACGCGGGTCTCTCACATCAAGGGCATGTGTCTTATCCTCTCCGCCATCGCCACCCCACCACATTTCAACAACTCCGTGATGATTTCGGTCTCTATATTATCGTGAAATGAAATTTTCATACTGTTTGATCTGTGGGAGTGAGGTTGGATATGCTGGGGAAACGTATTCAGCGGCAGATAATTGGAGTATTTGGGGCAGCAGGACGGCGTTTGAGGGACTGAGTCAGAATAAATTAAATAACATGTGACCCAGTGCAGCAGGGAGGCTCACTGATGGGTTTAATGGTTTCTGGACAACAATGGAGCTCAATGGCTCAGAGGAAGAAGAGACTTCGGCCATTGAATAAACATTAAAATATGAAGGTTTGACTTGGATATAAAACAGTTTGTACAGGTAAGAACAATAAACCAGAAACCATTTTCCATTTTCAGACAGACAGATGAAAAAAACCTTGAGTAACAGATTGCACTGACTCACAGGCGGTGGGGGAACAGCTACTTAACAGGAAGTGACATCAGGACTTCAGCTTTCTATGGAAATGAAGGTATCTCTGGGCCTTTCCGAAAATGCTTGCTCCTCCCTCTCCCTACCTACTTCCACTCCGTTCATGCGGAGAGTCCGCATGAGCGCCATCCCAAACCAGCGAGGGCGCAGTGGGAGTGGGTTGTTAAACCCTCCAGTGCTTGTTGAAGGTGTACTGCTGCACGAGGGGGGACCTTTCTTTCAATATGAGTCCCCTGTTAACATGAAGGATTTTTAAATTCGGAAACCACTCTAACATTTCATATCACCATTCACAGGTTATCAACTCAGCCCACAGTTAGGCTGTACTGTGTTTGATTAAGAAATGCTCTTGTCTGATCGACATTACCACTGTTTATTTTATTGAATCGTATTAATCCAAAAGTAAATAGCCTACATTACACAACAGAATAATAGAAGATGACACAACGAGATACACGGGGGGATCAAGTTACAAGCAACAAAGAACAATCATTAAGTCTTTATGCATTCTACGTTTTAAATTCTTCAGACTATATAATGTTTCAATATAATGTTTGATTTCTTTTGTAATGTTGTATTTGTGAATGTTTTTTTTAAATAAGATAAAGAGGTTCAAATAGGCTTTTCTTTTATAGTCAATATCAATCTTTCCATAAAAGAATATATTTATTTTTTCGTAAATATCTAAATCTAAATGTATTTTAAATTAATTATTTTAAGTCTAAATAAACTATAAAATACAGCCACCACGTTATTTTTCAAAATAAACTGTATTTTTATGATTTAAATATACTTTTCCAAACTGCCATGAAATCACTTTGCAAAAACGTCTGTCTATCATTAATGACATTAATGCACAGGTGTGTACATTTAACGAGTTACACCAACCCGTTCTCACTCACAAGTCGTCACATATGGACACGTGGTCAAGAGCCATAGTTGCAAGTTACCTAAATTGACGTAGGTGACGTTAGTTAGTTAACTGACATAGTTATTTTAACCCAAACCATGATCTTTTCTTAACCTTAACCAAGTAGTTTTGTTGCCTAAACCCAACCAAGTACTTTAATAACGCGCTGTTTCAAAATGGCGATGTTTCGAAACACTAGCGTTTTATTTTGAAAGTCTTAACTTTACCAGAAGTTGTATATTTGTGGTTGCTAACTTGACCGCGGAGCCCTAAACGTCAATAAATGACGCAAAAGGTCTACCCAGGTCGTTAAAAGGCGACGCCAAAGGTCCTTGACCAAGCGTCAATATGTGACGAGTCGGGAGTGAGAACGTGTTGGTGACGGCGTCTCGTGGCATCAGGGGCGCACAGACATATTTTGGGGGAGGGACTTAAGTGAAAAAAGGATACTTCTCATAATCATTTAATTTTAAAAATGTTTAAAACAAAACACTCAAATAACAAGTATATTAACACAACTCTGACTTCTTTACCAATTTATTTTAATTCCCAGTCACGCAATTGTTTCATACTCGGCAGATTTCTGCGAGATAATCATGCAGTTAACGCAGAGACTGTGGTCGTCTTTAGGATTCACACACACAATGACTGATGAATCCACATGTGAGGGAGGACTGGCTGTGTCATGTAAAGATCTATCAGCATAGTTAAGGATAGTTTTTACGTGAGGAGCCTACGATCAACATTATGAAGTCATTGTTTAAAGCAGGACACTTTTTTACGTAGTAGTCAATTTTAAGATTTTGGACTAGTTGGCTTTCTTGTATTTTAATTTAATAGAAAGAAAACTTCCAAAATACACATTTAAATGTTTGTTTCAAGTCTACTCTCAGACCCTTGTCTGTTTGCATCTGTAGATTTCTTCTAAATTAACCAAACAAGCTAATCTGCATATTTAAACATAACATTTCAGCGTTCTCACTCGTTTGCCATAACAGTATATATTTATATATCAGGGTCTCCGCAGGGTCTTAAAAAGTCTTAAAAGGTGATAAATCAATTTTGCGAAAATTAAGGCTTTTAAAAAGTATTAAAGTATTAATCACCATTTAACAAGGTATTACATTTTGAAGATATGTTTTTCAACATGAAAATCCTGTTTGCTAAAAGTGTGGGTGAACGTACACGTCTGTGTTTCACAGGAAATCTGACCAGTCCTTCACATAGAAAACCGTTGGCTCATACAGGCTGTTATAGGCAACTGGGAAAGTTGGTTAATGCCTCAGTTTTTAGGTGGCGTTAAAACCTGATGACATATAGGCAATAAATATATTTAAATTCCTTTTAAAAACTCAAAAATGTCCCTTGTACTACCTAAAGAAGGTTTAGTCCCCTTGGGGTTAGAGTCCCTAAAGGGGGGGATAGAGAGGGAGATGGGGAATCAAAGGAGTAAAATAACCAAAGGTGGGAGGCCTGCCTGTTTTTATTTTCTATTTAACTTTTAAACCTTTTTATATTTCCCTGTTGCTTTTATGTTTCATGTAAAGCACTTTGAATTACCTTGTTGTTGAAATGTACGATACAAATAAATTTTAAAGGTGTGTGGCTGATTTAATTGGTTTGCTCAAAGTGCTCAAATATGTTGAAAAAGTCTTGAAAAGGTCTTAAAAAGGTTTTGAATTTTATTTCAAGATTCCTGTATATACCCTGTATATATTAGTGTTGTCCCCGACTAAGGATTTACATAGTCGAATCAGAATCGCCAAGTTCTGCCTATAGTCGGCTGTCGAATCGTGTGTTTTCCTGCGCGGTGATTGCGAGGTGAAGCTAAACTGAGGCTTATTGTTGACCATTTTCTCTCTCTTTCTCCCGCTCTCGCTTCTGCCATTCACC